ATGCTGACAGGGGTGCCAGATGACGGGCTCATTGTTGGTGAGCACAGCTGTGGCAGCATGAACATCTCCCACGGACACTCCCCCCGCATGCTCGAGCAGGTGCAGTGGGGCCGGGGAGAGTGGGAGCAGTGTGGCACTCAGCCCAGGCTTGGGCTCCCTCCCAGCCACCTGCTTCTTCATGTACTACTTTTTGCTGTGTGGGATTGACTAGGACAGTGGGCTGGAGCCTGACTAGCTGGAGGGTAAGGTTGGGCTGTGGCAACACAGAGGTCCACTGATCCCTGCAGGTTAGGCCGAAAGACCCCACCAGTGCATGAATCCGTGCACCAGGCCTCTAGTTTCTCTACAATAAAAACCCAATATGCAAAGTGTCCAGTTGTCTTGCTGTCCGTTCAACCAATCAAAATGTAACATGCTAATGATATGCTAAGGCTGCTCAACTGCTTGCTATGATATGCACTGACCATCAGGTGGCAGACAGTCATCCTGTCCACCAGTCCCTAAGATGTGCACTGACTACCAGGGGACAGATGCTTTGACCAGTAAGTTAGCTTGCTGCTGGGGTCCAGTCGATCGGGTTTGAGCGAGACAGGCCAGACATTCCATGGAGCCCTCCTGTGGTCCCTCCCTGGCTGGCTAAACTCCCGTGCCCCTCCCCAGCCCTGACTGTGCACTGGTGGGGGTCCTTCAGCTTGGCCTGTGTCCTCTCGCAACCTGGGACCCCTTGGGGGAATATCAGAGAGCTGGTTTTGGCCCAATCCCGCAGGCCATGGCAAGGGATCCCACTGGTGCTTGAATTCGTGCACCAAGCCTCTAGTAGGATACTAATTTTTATATTATAACAAGACTGTTAAAATATGAAGAAAAAAATGTAAAGAATTTATATTTAATCCTCACAGAAACCTACTGAGCAACAGAGAGACATAAATGTTAAGTAACTGCCAATGCTACCTCCATAGTAAGGGTAGAAGACTTGAATCATATCTGACTTTAAATCCTAATGATAGACACCTGTGATGTGGGGCAAAGTCCCAAATAATTCCTGTTGCTGACTAGATCTAATATATGTATTAATTATTGGGAACTAAGTTGTGTATACAGAAATTTGCTTTAATTTTAGGTCTTAGTCAAAAATCCCAGTGACCAAGTGAAAAGCCAGGATGCTTAAAGACATCCTATCTATCTACTTATCTATTATTTAAGGCTAGGTCTAAATAGACCTATCATTTGACATACATACATTGATAGCAAATATTTAATGGCATTGAAAATATATTTTAAAAAAAATAACTTTTCTTCAGGCACAGAAACCAATTATTAGAAAATGTTTATTTTCTGGAAAGATATATAAGTGGAAGCATCATAATAATAAAAGGTCAAGAAGCATCACAACCAAAACAACCAAACTACCTGTCACCATGAGGTGCATGGAGCACCTCTTGGGCCAGTACATAAATAAAAGAAGCCAGATACAAAAGACTCATACTGTATAACTTCATTTATATGACATTTTGAGAAAGGCAAAACTATAGTAACTAATATATATATACATATATATATATATCAGAAGTTTCCAGGAGCTTGGCATGAGTCAAGTATAAATTTTGGGAAGTGATGGAAGTAATCTATATCTTCATTTTGAGAGCCATTCCACAGAAAGACAGTGTAATTTGTGCTTATATTAAAATCCTTTAGAAAGAAATCTTCTCTCCCTTCCTCTCTGTAAAAGGCATTGAAAATATATTTTAAAAAAAATAACTTTTCTTCAGGCACAGAAACCAATTATTAGAAAATGTTTATTTTCTGGAAAGATATATAAGTGGAAGCATCATAATAATAAAAGGTCAAGAAGCATCACAACCAAAACAACCAAACTACCTGTCACCATGAGGTGCATGGAGCACCTCTTGGGCCCTCTCCTGTGGCCCACAGGCTCTGATCCCCTGATCCCAGCAAGGCTGGTGGCCAGCGGGCAGGCAGGGCAGTGGACTGGTGGGTTTGACAAGGCAGGTGTGGCTGCAAGTGTAGCTGTGAGTGTGGCGGGCAGATGGGTGGGGCTGTGAGCGTGGCAGGGTGGTGGGCAGGTGGGCAGGACATGAGCATGGTGGGCGGGTGGTGGCATGAGTCAAGTATAAATTTTGGGAAGTGATGGAAGTAATCTATATCTTCATTTTGAGAGCCATTCCACAGAAAGACAGTGTAATTTGTGCTTATATTAAAATACTTTAGAAACAAATCTTCTAATCACTTTCTATACAATTAAATTCTGAATGATGTTTGTGCCATTTCAGAAACTTCATGGTCTAGGTTCTGCCTATTTCCCCAACTTGGTCTCTCACCCTCTACCTTGGTCACTTTGTTACAGCTACTGTGTGCTTTTTCTGTTCCTTTAAAATCATAACTACCTTAGAACCTAGAAGAAACTGCTCACAGAATTTCAAAAGACTATGTGATTCCTACCTTTGAGTTTTCATCAGCATCTCTTCATAGAGACTATGGTGAACACTTCTCAACTAAGCACAGTTATTTTGTTTCATCTTTTAGATAATTTGTTGTTTATTTAGTTTATTAACTTGTTTATTTATAAACAAACATAAAATATTCCAAGGAATTTTTGTGATAACACCATATAGTTTCAATTAAAGAAAATAATACAAATACTACCTTTGATGAATTCTTTTCCTTAATTGCTTTTAGCTTGTTCCATTAGGTTTCGTCTATGTATAAGAAAAAGAAACTGGATTTCATAGGAATAGTATGTTGACTATTATGGACACTATGATGCACTTTATATATTATACATTCTATTATTGTAGATCATATTAATCACATGATGTGCATTCTATACTACATATGTTAGACATTATGCAATTATATAATTCATATGTTGTATACCATATACTAAAACACAAAAATCACATATCACAATGCATTTATCATATATTTTAAAATTATGTATTTTATAAACTATGTTTAATTTACTCTTATTCAAAAAATTATAAATTACATATTTTATATTCTGTAGTAGAAATTGGCAAGCTTTAGATAAATCTGGCCTGTCAGCTGTTATGTAAATATATTTTTATTGAAACACAGTCACACCCATGCACTTATATATAGTCTATGGCTGTTTGCATGCTAAAAGGCAGAGTTGATTAGGTACAAAGAGATCACATGGCCCATAATCCTAAATATTTACTACTCAGGCTTTTACAGAAAGACTCTAGAGTATGAATATGTATTACATATTTCTCTCACTCTCGCTTTCAGTCTTCTTTCTATCTCCATCCATCCATCCATCCACTGCATATTTTGTCATTTCTAACAGTATGATGAAGTGCATTTATAATTGCTTTATATGGATATGACAAGTAATCAATACATGTATCTTTCTTTAATTAGGGCACTATTATGTCTCAAGTGGCTTATTACATAAAAATGAAAACAAATCAAACCAACAACAACAAATAAGCCTCTTCTTTGACATCCTTAAGTCCATTTTACTTCCAAATACCAGACTCCAAAATAAGGACAGAAATCATGTCAGTTGACTTACTTAAAATCTTCCAAATGTTTCTCTTTACGTTTAGAATAAACTAATATGCTTTATCCTTATTACAATCCTGTACAATCTGGCTTCCACAATGCTATTCCCAAACCAAGCTTTTCCTTCAGACTCCATTCCTCATGCATGTATTTTTTTTTATTTTTTTTTTGCTGGAATACTCTTCCCACAGCCACATTTTTTTTTTGCCATTTAGATCTGAGCATAAAAGTTATCTTCTCACCTTAGCTGGTTTGGCTCAGTGGATAGAGCGTCGGCCTGTGGACTGTAAGGTCCCAGGTTTGATTCCGGCCAACGGCATGTACTGGTTGCGGGCACATCCCCATTTGAGGTGTGCAGGAGGCAGCTGATGGATGTTTCTCTCTCATCGATGTTTCTAACTCTCTATCTCTCTCCCTTCCTCTCTGTAAAATATCAATAACATATAATTTTTTAAAAAAGTTATCTTCTCCACCCAATGTGAAGTATGTTTCTTGATCATATGTTTAGTTTCATTTATCCCAACATTGAAATAAAAGTCTCATGAAATTAATTTTTTTCTCTCTTGTTCTCTGATCTATCACCAATACCAGATTACTTACCGGTCCTTACTGTATAAAAACTCAATTTTGTAGAAAAACATACAATTAATAGTTGTATATTAATATTATACTAGTGCATATTGTTAATTATTCAATAATCATCAATAATATAGTAATTCAATAATGAATAATTATTAAAATAAAAGAAAACTTGTTCAATATTTTTAGAGGTGAAGCCTAAGAATCCTTCTCTTGAATGTAGACAAAAAAGTGTCTTTTTTCTGATAACTAGAATAAAGTGCAAATTAACTTGTGTGATTAAAAAAATACATTCAACATTTTTGTTATCTCAAAAATTATATAATACAACTTTATGAAACATCAGTTCTATAATTTGATCAATGTTTCATGTCTAAAAATATTATTTAGATTTTTTTCAGAAAGTTAAATGTCCTGTGTATTCTTCCATAATTTAGTTATCTGTTAATTTTTAAAGTCACAATAAATAACAGTCAAAAAGAATATGGTTATTGGGAAATAATTTTTGTAGTAAGGAGACTATATTATTTTAAGATGAGGTCAAAATTTTTCTGCTTATATATGTAACTAGAGACCCGGTGCACAAAAATTTGTGCACTTGGCCAGGTGGGAGAGGAGGTCCCTCAGCCTGGCCTGTGCCCTCTTGCAGTCTGGGACCCCTCAGAGCAGGGCCAATTGGGGAGTTGGGCCGCCGCCCCCTGTCATGCACAGAGCAGGGAGATCTGAAGGTTGCGATGCCACCCTCAGTCACGCTCAGGCTAGGGCTGATTGGGGGGTTGGGGCGCCGCCCCCTGTCACACTCAAGGCAGGGTCGATAGGGAGGTTGCAGCGCCACCCCGTCACGCACAGAGCAGGGCCGATCAGGGGGTTGGGGCGCTGCCCCCTATCACGCACAGAGCAGGGCCCATCAAGGGGGTTGGGGCTTTTAACTGAAGCTCCCATCCTGTCCTTTTTTCCTTTTTTTTAATTCTGGACCAGCTTTAGCTCTGAGGCTTGGCTCCAGTGTTATGAGACCCACTGCTGAAAGCAGGTTTCTGGCCTTTGTTTACACTTCTGTATTTGAAACAATGTGGCGGTCCTGCTGGCTGAAGCCTGGGGTTTTGTTTAGCTTCTATATTTGTTACAATGTTGCTTTTAGTGCAGCTGAGAGGCCTGCAGGGCAGGCTGGGAAGCTTGGCTTCCTCTGTCACTAAAGCAAGCAAGCCTCCTGTTAGTATCAAGCTGCCTGGCTGTTGGCTGCCATCGTGGCTGGCAGTTAATTTGCATATCTTGCTGATTAGCCAATGGGAAGGGTAGCGGTCGTACGCCACTTCCCATGTTTCTCTTTTT